GCGCCCATAACAACAAAAGACAATACTTTATTGAACCTTTTCTGATAAGAAGTGTGCGCTGCAAACGCGAGCATTTTTGACGATCGTTTCTGTCCAGTCTGCTCATTTTATTGCGTTTAACCACAGCTGTCGTCGGTTTTTTGTCTGGCAGTGGCAACAGATATGCGATCAAATTTCAAATTTGAGGCTGTATTACGTCGATTCTGGCACCCAACATCACAACATATTATAAGCTCCTTATGTAGCCGAATCTGCGCTGGTTTGAATGGGCCGCCTCCAGTTTCCCCTTTGTTTTGCTGCCTCCAGCTAGCGCTGTGACGTCGGCTGACCCTAGTTACCTGTGGTTGGCCGGGCCGTGCGTCACTCAGAAAACAACAGGCCAATCAGAAGAGAGGCTCATGAATATTAATTAGACTGGCCAAAATCGACCTGTTCTCAGCAGAGCTCCTGAGACGAGCTGTAAAAATATATTGAGATGGTTTTTGGTACTTATACCGCAAATATATATTCTTAAGGACATCAAAAACTAAAATAAAACTCCAGAAAGGTGTACAATATGTGACCTTTAAGGCAGAAGAAAGTATATTTTTAGGACCATTAAAACCCTGGCTCCCAATTTTTAAATGGAAAAAAAAATATTTATACACTATATTTGAATTGACTATATGGTTTAACCCTCTTGTAGAGAATGGATGGATGTCCTCAGCCCTCCGGTAGTTCATCCAAATCAACAGATGGCAGATGGGAAAGGAGACCACGGCAAGGTCTCACCCAGAGGTATGACACCAGAAAAATCCCCATCCTGGGCTCATATTCTCAACCCTTTGTTGCTTAAAATAAATCATGATCTAGTTTTCTCTTGGATAGAGAACAACTGGTACAATTACATTCATGATTGATTTTTCCTTCTTCATCTAAGACCCACAGTGATATTTCTGTGACAAGACTCTTAAACTGTAGGCGAGACGGGAGCAAGTTATCAGGGTTTTCAAAATATTGAGTATTTCTAAAGGCAGATTTATTTTTTTAAAGTCTTTGTTAGAAAACGTATTAACTGTTACTGCAAGATTCTATGAACAGTTTATGAGGTAAATTGTCACAATGCGAAATGCAAACTTTCGGTTAAATTGCCAATTAGAAGCTACTGAAAGGCTTTTAATGAAATCAGTTGTGAAACAAAACAATTGCTATATACAGTGGGTACGGAAAGTATTCAGACCCCCTTAAATCTATCCACAGGGTCTATGTTGCACAACATCAGTGGAGAAGAAGAATTTCTCAATTTAATGTATGATCCCTGCCTCAACTGTTACTTTGATCCACAATCTGGGAAATATTATGAACTGCTCTGATCCCGAGATGAGTTACATCTACAACCATGTTATTCAATACAGCCATTTACATGTATGGATTAGTTGAAGCGTGTTGTCCTTCATAACATTAATGGTTTTAATGGAAATGTGGGATTTAAAGTGTATTTTTTGTAAAGGTTTCTAATGTAATATTAGTTTTTAGTAATAAATTCACATTCAAGCTTGTTTGAGCTCATAACAGAAGTTAAGTTTTCAGTAAGCAAGAGATAAACTCATATTGTGGAATCCATTTCAGTGTTTATTAGCCCTCCTAACTTTTTTTTATTCAAACTTATAAAATTGTTCCTAGACAATATGTAAAACGAACTAAAATGATATAATATCTGCTATATAATTAAATTAATCTCACTTTTTAAAGTGATCCTACAGTATACTGTTGACGGAAGTCATCGCGTTGCCACACGATCGGCCAATCATACACCAGTTACTCCTTTACGTCATTTGACAGGTAGAATCACTAGGAAGTAAACATCTATAATGGCGAGAAAGACGTTCAAGTTAAGCCACTACTCGAATATGTTGCTAAATGTGATTTTATATAGTATTTATAACGAGTTCGCCTTCGCCTTTCCGTCATATCGCGAATCCAGACAGTCAGAAAGTTTGGAGAAACCCACCTCGGCACCAAATGTTCAACAGGTTCGTTATCGACTTTCTTGCGTCAGTCTCTTCCTTGTTAGTTTGTATACTTACTATAATCCACGGTCTGTTGTTTTGCAGGTTGCAAGACTCCATTTCGGAGTAATCGCGTCTGTTGTGATCGTTATTGTAGCTGCAGTAGCAGCTGCTGTCTTCATCATCCGGAAATATTGCTGTCCGCAGAGGTATATATGCAACATGTGCTTTATTTGACAGTGCAACCTAAACTTACATTCATGTTGTACGGAAAAATAGTTTGCAATAATTTATACGAAAGTTAATCACTTTAAACCAGGGGTGTCAAACTCAATTCCTGGAGGGCCGGGGCCCTGCAGAGTTTTGTTCCAACTCTGCTCCAACACACATACCATATAGTTTTCAAATAAGCCTGAAGGACTTGATAAGTTGGATCAGGTGTGTTTAATTAGGGTTGAATCTAAACTCTGCAGGGCTCCGGCCCTCCAGGAGTTTGACACCCCTGCTTTAAACCCATGTGTTGCCAAATTTGTCCCTACTAAGTGACAACTAAATTTAGACTTTTATTACAGTAATGTAACATATAGATATTCAGAGCTGCGACAAATGGAAGAACAAAATGCAGCCAGAGAAGAGGACCATGATTCAGATGAGGTTAGTATGCATGGCACTTTAAAATTAGTAATAATAGCCTTCAAAACTATGTATACTTAATTACTTTGTATTCTTACTCTGGATGTTCTTTCCACAGGACCTTTTGGAGTGAATCATGTAGCATCATTTATGCTTGACGCTTCTCTTCCTTTTTAATGCTGTGACATTATATGGCCAAAAGCATCACATGGATCATTTAAAAACCACCAGGAGTTTCTGAAATATTTATATCTGTTCCATCATTTTTCAGCACGGATATGTCCACCAACCAGTTAAAATTAGCTGGTTACATTTGGCAGGATTGGAAGGCTAAAATCCCCTACATGAAAGAACTGTGGAGAAATGGTGTAAGATGCTCATTAGAGATAAAAGTTACTATGATTTATTTGCAGGTAAATAACTTGTGAAAAGAGCTGTTATGGTTACTGTGCCCATTGCTTAATACTTGGTCAATATTGGAACTACTTTTTAAATGCACTCCTTGAAGAACTTGTTTAGTATTTTCTTGAATTTCTCAATGCAAGGCATGTTGTACCAAAGTCTGTTGAAATGATTGTATTTATTGTGCCTGACCTTTTCTTGATTTTAAAACAGCTTTATGATCTCAGGGTTGTTCCCACTGGATACCGTGAACGGTGCCACCGATACTGGAAGCACATCTGAATAAGCGTTTTACTGTAAACCAGACTTCTCAATTGTGATGATGCTGTAAAGTTTGCATTTCAGTGCCTTACTGAAATCTGTTACTGTAAAATTTAACTCTGTGTATTTGAACAATAATCTGCACTCATATGCTGGTGTTGGTATTTACTAATGGCAGTGTTTGACTTCACCACTATTTTAATATGACTATGTTGATAGAGAATTATTATGTGCAGTCCAGAGCTCCATTATGGTGTTTCTATTTACTCTGTTCATGGTGGGAAGTATTTTTGATGATGGAATTCTGTATCTTTAGATTTTCATATTTGCACCTTCTTATCTGAGACTTAACTACTGACTACTTAAAAAACAGTTTGTGTAACTAAGAAAGAATAAAATGATATACTTAAAATTCCTTGTGTGTTTGCATGCACTTTTCTCATAGATAGCCACAAGAGGGCATCACACAACTGTAAAATCAGTTTGCATACACCAACACATCTCGGTTAGATTTGTTTGTATTTAATGGTGCAAATTTACCACACCTTAAGGTAGATCCTGCCGGGTCAGGTTTCACACACCACCATAGTCCTGGGAACTTTCAAACAGGTAACAATTCCAAAGTACAAGAGAAAAAAATAATACATTTCTTGTGATTTCTGGTAGTTGCATTTTAAACCATATTATTGCATCAGGCTTGTGAGAAGCCCAGAAGATTATTTTGTGCTACCAAAAATGAGAGTTGAGGGTAAAGAAAACATTTGTAGTTTTTCAGATTATTTTGTATGACTGTTTATGTGTACATTGAGCATATCTTACTTGTGTTTTTCAGATCATGTCTATGTTCTCACAACAATGCTGATCATCTTAATATGGTGTTTCTCTGTCAACTGGTTAAAACTCCAAGAAGCTGCCAAAACGGTTATGTAATGTACATGGTCATCACATATGACAACTTGTTAATCAGTAACATTATTACAAATCTATTTTATTGCCGTTATGTTTTAGTTTGGCTACGATTGGGGCTGTTTTGTATTCCAGATGAAGTTAATGATTTTGTGACAGACTGTGACAATCTAGCTAAACTGAATTGTTATGTTCATTAGTGGACGAGGTGGAGATGGAGCTTATTGGGGTGCTCGTTGTACTGTATTTTTTCTGGGCAAACTTTTAAATATCTGGCTGTAATTTAGTGACTGCAAATGCTGATTTCATTTGATTCCATCTTTATTATACCTGATAATGAGCTAGTTCAACTTAAGGGGGCTAATCAATATAGAGTATATTTCAAGAAACTAAGACTTAAGGTACTCCACTTTTTCAGTAGTTTAAAGACTGAAATACATTTTTCATTTATATTTTGTGTAAATTCATTTAAATTTAAAATTGTTAACTCAAAGCAGGTGTTACACACTTTGTAATTAACATCTGATGCATTTATAAATCAAAAATCACAATTGAAATAAAAAAAAATGTTCCTGAGATTCAATATCTTTAACAACATGTACAAACATTACTACAAACTAAACCACCAGGGTCCTAGAAATGCGGTCCTGAAACTGCAGCTTCCGGTTGTGCAGGAACACCCTTCTCTTTGAAAGTGATCACAACGATATCGTTCCTCTGTATCGTCATCGTTATAGTTGTGGTGTGAGCTATGCTATTCTTTAATATTGAGAACGATTTTTAGAACTATATCGTTATCTTTATAGTTATCGTGCTTGGTGTGAACGGGCCTTAACATGGTGAGTTAAATTAATTGTATACAATTCTGTCATCATTTACTCACCCATATGAATGCAAAATGAGATATTCATCAGAACATTTATGCTGCTTGTCCATACTTTTCAAAGCTTACAGTGATATAGCTTGCACATATTTAAAAGTTTTCGGTGAATAACAACAAATCTCTGTCTGTTCCTCACACTAACCTGTTGTATGGCTTGTAGCACAAAAGTCTTGGATTACTTAGATCACTTTTAAATTCACAAAATGACTTGTAGTTTTTTTTGTGTGATTTGATTTAATATTTTCTAAATGCATTTGTTCAGTAATAGCTTAGAATCAGTATAAATCTGTTCTTTGTGAAAACAATTAAATTTAATAAGTTAAAAACTATATGGTGTAAAAATGGCTATAGCTGCGAAACAAGCAAGATTCAGTTTTTTAAAATGTATGAAATTAATATATATATATATATATATATATATAAAAATAACCTGGTTAAAACACATTCAGTTTATTAGTACTATATAAGAAATCTCTTATACTTGTTTCATTTATGCATAACTGATGGATATGCATCATTTTTAAGTTTTATTGAGATAACTGATGGCAGTTTTCATTTTTGGATGAAATATTTAAATAAATAGTATTTATAGATGCTAAATCTTTAGATCTATAGATGCAAATGTTCTTCTCTACGGCATCATGGGTGGCATTAAGAATAATGCAGGACAAGGGCTGAACATTGTGTTAGCAAACGGTTTGTTTATAAAAAATAATTAGACAGAATTTTAATTTTTTGAAATCTGAAATCATTTTCATATTTTCTTCTGTTAAAAATATTTGACTATTTATGCAAGTATTAATATTTATTAATATATGCCAATCAAATTCAATTGGATTCATTTACTCTTTTTTTTCTTAGGTGAAAGCGGTGAGGTTTTAAGAAATAAGAACTTTAATCTGGAATCTAGAGGTAGGTCTTTTAGTGAAATTGTTCTAAATCTAACAAGATGTGAAGTAAAACTATCCTGATGTACAGAACCACTTGTTTGTCCTTCAAGATCCAGAGGAATTACTTGTCTATCTAAAGACACTAAAACCAGGAAATATAGTGCGTGTGGCCTCACACATCGACCCTACACCAAAGTAAAAATGTGACAGCCTTCACACACCATCAACATGATTAACTTGGCTTTAGAGTCAGTTGAATTATTCATACATGTCTCACTTCCACTGCCACCGTGTCTTTTCCAGGCTGACTGATGAGATTAGAGAAATATTCACTGCACTGGGCAGCACAGTGGTCAAATCCCTGAAGCCCAGGGATAGCTGGGTATTCACAGGCGCCTATGGAATAAATGAAGCTAGTCCTTTTGAAAAGTTTGGAACATCTTTTTAAGTTGAAGTTTTCCATAATATTTTTTATATTTTACGTTGGTTTCATTTCAATGAATGAAAATAATTTTTTTGTTGTAGTTTTTTTTTTTTTTTTAGTTTTAAGTTGGTTGTTTTATCTGTTATGTTTAGTTAATTCAAAATGATATGAGGAGCAACGTGTATGAAGACTGGCCAGAGATGGGGGAGATCATTGGCTGCTTTCCCAGAATATCTGAGACTGAATAAGCCACAGTAGCCAACCTCATATCACCACGTTTGGGACATTTGAAAACAGGACATTAACAACACAGTGGCTGTTTGCTATCTTCCCTTTCTAAGCAAATAAAATTGACGGAATAGTTTACTCTCGTATTGCTCTAAATCCATGTGCAAAATTTTGCATATATTTACCCTGCTCTTTTCCAAATACTAGAAGAGCAACATTCTGCCACTATGATAATATTATAAAACAAAAATACATTTGAAAGATAATACAGATGATTCTGTTCTCATACAGAATTCCTTCACACTGGTTCTTGTATATACGGTAACACTGTTGCTGTTGATATTAACAACGAAGAGTGGAAAATGGGAACGTGACATCACTTTAACACAGTCCATTTTTTCACTCCCCCTCCTTGTGCTGGATTGTAGTACCAGTTAGGACACTGTATGCACTCCGGGTTGTAAAAGTGTGTGTGTGTGTGTGTGTGTTTGGGTTTGCTTGGAGGGATGTGCATCCCCCTTCCCGCTTCTCCCCTTGCTCTGCATGAAAATAGCAGGTGGAATCCCAGAGAATTTGTTTCTGGAACAATCCTGAGGCACTGAGCGCTCTGCACCTTTGGAATCATGGGAGTGGCCCATGGAAAGAAAGTAAGGATATTTTAATCCAGTTTGAAGAACCTGTATGTTACGAGTGTAAGTCATACATCTCCTCTAAAGATCTGACAGGACTCAAACTCTGTTACACAAATGGATGGTTGTAAATGGACATTGTTCAGAAAACAGTGTTTTAGGCTTAAAATACTGAAATTTATGAGGTGAGACTTTCTTTTGTTTGATGCTGTTTTTCCTGTTTGTGTGACTTCTAATCACAAAGTTTGAGCATGAGACATTTATTCTAAGCTGATTCTATACTTATTATGAGTTGAGTGTCTTTTAAGTTCATTTAGTTTCAGTTCTTAGGAATATGTGTGAAATAAAGGTGCATCAGCTGTGTTATTTAGTATTATTTATATACTTTTTATTAATAATTTGAATTAGCTTTTTTAATATTTTTAGGTTACTTTTTGGTAATATTTTTATGTGCCTTTGACATTGTTATTATAATTTTTTTTCTATTCAAGTTTAATTTAATTGTAGTTTTACTTTCAGTTCAGTTTTAGTTTTTATTTCCAGTTAGTAATGATAGTGTGTTTCAACTTAAATTTCAATTAGTTGCCAACACAACATTTCATATGCATAAGCATACAGTATATATAGCCTATATATTATTTAAGTTAACATAGAAACAGCCTTCTTCTCAACTCCAGACGTCTTAATCTGTAGCTTTCATGTCTTTTGGTTTCTTTCAGTGTAAAAATTTACATATTTAGTTACAATCTGTAACATTAACCTTATTTGAATACTTTGATTCCCTTCTGATTTTCTTTCCTTTGGCGATTTAGTCCAAGGACTCCTCGTGACTTTCCTGACACAATCACATTCTAGACAGCAAACAGATTATGAAGGGAAAATGGAGAGTTTGTTTGGCAGGGCCAGTAATGAGGTGGCTAAATGCCAGCTGGTCCCAAAACCATTTTAGTCCAATATGATCAACCTAGCATGGTGCTAACACACACACACACACACATATACCCACAATGCCTCCCTTGTGTTAGTGCAAATGTCTCCCAACACACAGGGCTATTGTGCTGTTCATCAACAGCTTTGGAGATTATTTTAGATTGTTTGGATGATAGATAAGGATGAAGCAGTGCAATGTCCTTTTATACTTTCTGGACATGATAATAGTGATAGTATGGTTTTTGTACACTACTATGATGGTAATACCATGGTATTATTATAGTAAATATGTTAATCATATGGTATTATGCTATCACTATATAGCACATCACCGTGAAATGCAGAAGGGAAAATGCTAATGAAAATCAAATTTTTGTATTTTGTCTTGTGGTTAAAATATAATGACTCATATCCATTTTCTTTCACAGGCAGATCATAATCATCAAAATCACAACTCTGCTTGTGCTCAACCACTTATTGGACCTGGTGAATCAGGTTATATCATATTATATGGACGTTTCATATTATATGATGCAATTACATTGATTAATAGTGCTTTTCATTATTATTACTAATGCTTTCTTGAACAAAGGTGCATTTGGTGCTACGGTCATTTGAGGAGTCCTATTATTTTTCCATGCAAATGAACTTTTCTCCTGGTGGATGATATTGGCTGTTTTTAAAGGATAGTTCACCAAAAATGAAAATTTGCTGAAAGATTCACCCTCAGGTCATCAAAGATGTAAATGAGTTTGTTTCTTCATTGAAAGAGATTTGGAGAAATGTAGCATTCCATCACTTGCTCACCAATAGATTCTCTACAGTGAATGGGTGCCGTCGGAATGAGAGTCCAAACATCTGATAAAAACATCACAGTAATCCATACAACTCCAGTCCATCAATTAACATCTTGTGAAAAGCTGGGTGCTTGTAAGAAACAAATTCATCATTAAGATGCTTTTAATTTCAAACATGTGAGCTGAAGTCGAACTCAACTGAAACCAGTATTGCTTTCTCCGTTGAAAAGACATCTTGTCTGAATCAGGAGAGAAATATGCCGAAATATGAGAGACAACAGGAGATAGAGTTTTTCACTGGAGGAAGCATTATTATGAATTATGTACTGGTATTTTGGCTAGAAGTGATGGTTTGAAGTTCAAACACATTAATTATGGATGTATTCCTTATAAACATGCCTCTTTTTGCTTCACAAGATGTTAAATGGTTGATTGGAGTCCCGTGGAATTTTTTTTGTGAATTATTGTGATGTTTTTATCAGCTGTTTGGAATTTGCTAAACAAGACTTTTCAGCAAATGTTCTTTGTTTTTAGTGAACTATTGAATGCTCTCTTTTGCTTCGATTTAGTCTCTGATCTTGGAGCCGTGATAGACCCTGATCAGAGGTGGGGCAGAGAAGAGGATTTAGACCAGAGCAAGTTGCTTCCTGAGCAAACAGACAGCGGTTACTATGAAGAGCTCATCAGGCCCAAAAAGCTCCACAATCCCATCAAAGCGTCCAAGAGCCACCGGGAGCTCCAGCGAGAGCTGATTATTACACACAAAAGGTGCAAACTGACCCAGAATTTGAGTTGAAAGCATGTTCACATTTTGAGGCATGAGCAATGAGCAAGCTTAGTTGCGGCCTTAATTTATCACCTGACCCAATTCCTAATCTCACTTCAAATGTACCCACAGAGGGATTTCTGAGTTTATGTCTCTCTTGCATGTACATGTTTTGTCCAACAGATGACAGTAAAGTCAAAGTTGTGCGTGTAGTTAGAGCCTCTGGCGTGATGTATCCCTCTTGTGGATACAGTATAAAACTCATAACGCATTTTCTTATCAATTATCGCTAGATGTGATGTTTTTGAAGTGAAACAACTGAAATCAAAATCGACCCTATTTGCTTTCTTAATACGCACTCCTTATAGTGAACGATCCATCAATGCATATTGTTAATATGCATAATGCATCGGTTTTGTATTTTTAATGTCTACAATTAACAAAGATTAATACATACTGTAAGAAATGTATTGCTCATTGTTAGTTAATGTTGGTTTACAATGGTTTATGCATTAACTAACGCAAACTTGCTACCTTATTTTTAATAGTTTAATGATTTAAATATAGGCTAATAGTTTGTAATACAATAGAAGAGTTAACATATGTTGAGATGTTCTTAAGCATGAACTTGAACATCCACATCCTGGATTCCCATTACATTTATTTGCAATGAATGTACAATTTCTATTATATGAGATAAAATAAGACTTATTTTATCTATCAGAGGAGCAGTGGCGGAGGAGAAGCCTGAGTTACAGAGAGTTCTGGAACAGAGAAACAGAGCTCAAGTTCTGAAACAAGACAGAAAACAGGAGGAGGAGAAATCGCCACTGGAGCAGGAGTTACTGAAGAGACAGATGAGGTTAGAGAAGGTAAAACCAGAAATAGCTACCATTCCTCAAACTATACTGAAATGAGTGTTGAATGGACAGTATTGTTTGATGTACGCTAATAAGGCTGGGAAGTGATCCTAATTATGATTATTTTTACATCTCAAGTTCAGAACACATTGATCTCGGGTTCCAAAAAATGTGCTGTCAATCATGATATGTGCACCATGTACTATAACCTCATTCAGAAATGATTTAACTTGAATAATTCTTATTCTCAGTTTGAGAGAGAGGTCGAAGAGCAGAGAGAAAGGTCAAAGTGCGCGCCTGAGTTCATCAGGGTCAAAGAGAGCCTAAAGAGGACGACGATCACAAGTGCTGTGGAGAAAGAGCTGTAATCACACATTACATTACTTCACTGATCTACATGAGTGCTGATACTCCTCCAGCTGCTGATTCGAACAGTTCTTAGTTTTATTTAGAAAGCTTGGGGTTTGGATTTCGAACGCAATCACAGAATGTGAAAAACCGTTGACAAGGACCAGAATGTTGACAATGTGGGCCAATGGTATGTCATATTAAGCACTTGTACTTAATTGCTGATTACTTGGCTGTAATTTGCACCAGTTAGAGAAACACACAAGAACAGAATAACTCTAGTACTGGAACTGTATCTAGTGTTTGAGTATAGAAATGATTGGTCTGCCATATTTATAGATGATATACTTTTATGAACAGACAGCAATTCTTTCCACTTTTTCTACATTTATGGTTCAAATCATTTGGTATGTTCACATATGCATACTAGTTTCAGATATCACGCACTACTACATTTAGCAAAATGTGTACTGTAGTACAAAAAGAGCATAAAGAAAAGGACACTGTATTCCATAATGCAATGTTTTAGACTTAATTTTCCTTTTTTGGTATGGCAAATTTTAGCATCTCTTTTTCTTGATTCACTGTTTGATTGGGCAGGCATAGCACATTTTTTTCCACATGCATTTTGTTTTAACAAAATTATCACAATATTACAATTAAGATATTCTTGATTTACACTTCCTGTATAAGTGACTTTTTTTTATTTAACGAAATAGATGTTTTTCTTCATTGCAGATTTGGATACATTTAGTATTACATCACTTGTGCACCAATTGATCCTCTGCAGTGAATGGGTGCCGTCACACAACTCCAGTCCATCAATTAGGTCTTGTGCAGTGAAAAGCTGCGTGTTTGTATCAAACAAATCCATCATTAAGACGTTTTAATTTTAAATCGGCTGTAGTCGTGTGGATTATTGTGATGTTTTTATCGGATGTTTGGACTTTCATTCTGGCGGCACCCATTCACTGCAGGATCCTTTGCTGAGCAAGTGATGTAATGCTGAATTTCTCCAAATCTGTTCTGATGCAGAAACAGACTCATCTACATCTTGGATGGCCCGAGGGTGAGTCAATTTTCATTTTTGAGTGAACTATTCCTGTCAGAGCTTTTCCACTCATAACGTTACATGTATGTTTCGGCTAACAAACCAACTTAGTTTTTTGTAAATACGTTTTGTACATTTTGTAGTAATGTTTAAATAAAGGGATGTTGACATGTCATACCGTTTGGAGTATATAATCTGAAAGTACCAACCACAGTCTGCCTTTGCATAGCACTCTGATGTGAACTTTATTTTTTCTTGATTCACTGTTTGATTGGGCAGGCATAGCGCACTTTTTTCCACATGCATTTTGTTTTAACAAAATTATCACAATATTACAATTAAGATATTCTTGATTTACACTTCCTGTATAAGTGACTTTTTTTTTATTTAACGAAATAGATGTTTTTCTTCATTGCAGATTTGGATACATTTAGTATTACATCACTTGTGCACCAATTGATCCTCTGCAGTGAATGGGTGCCGTCACACAACTCCAGTCCATCAATTAGGTCTTGTGCAGTGAAAAGCTGCGTGTTTGTATCAAACAAATCCATCATTAAGACGTTTTAATTTTAAATCGGCTGTAGTCGTGTGGATTATTGTGATGTTTTTATCGGATGTTTGGACTTTCATTCTGGCGGCACCCATTCACTGCAGGATCCTTTGCTGAGCAAGTGATGTAATGCTGAATTTCTCCAAATCTGTTCTGATGCAGAAACAGACTCATCTACATCTTGGATGGCCCGAGGGTGAGTCAATTTTCATTTTTGAGTGAACTATTCCTGTCAGAGCTTTTCCACTCATAACGTTACATGTATGTTTCGGCTAACAAACCAACTTAGTTTTTTGTAAATACGTTTTGTACATTTTGTAGTAATGTTTAAATAAAGGGATGTTGACATGTCATACCGTTTGGAGTATATAATCTGAAAGTACCAACCACAGTCTGCCTTTGCATAGCACTCTGATGTGAACTTTATTTGCACTGTACACAAAGATTTTACTGAACACACAATGCATAGACAAGGAGTGTTTATTCATAACGTGCTACTACCTGTATATCTTTAAGGGTACAAATCATTGGCTCTTCATAACTCCATCGATAACACATGATGCATTGCATCCATACATTTGTAGCTTTTACAAAAAAGATATACAATATACGTATACATCATCTTTATATATAATACACATACTGTATTTGTGTCTCCTCTTCACTTCATGAAGTGTGTGCACTTCCATGTGAAAAACAAATTGATCAAGGGAGGAATTAACTACCCAAAAACTGGGGTGTAACTTCCTAGTACTTTCCAAAGCCAAAGTACACTCTTAAAAATAAAGGTGCTTCAAAAGGTTCTTCAAGCGATGCCATAGAAGAACCATTTTTGGTTCCACAAAGAACCATTCAGTCAAAGGTTCTTTAAAGAACCATCTCTTTCTTACCTTTTTATAATCCGAAGAACCTTCTTTCACCACAAAGAACCTTTTGTGAAGCAGAAAGGTTCTTCAGATGTTAAAGGTTCTTTATGGAACCATTTAGACAAAAAGGTTCTTCTATGGCATCGTGAAGCACCTTTATTTTTAAGAGTGTAAGTCATAGTCATGTCTTCTAATGATATTCAATCAGCCCTTCTGAGGCAGTTTGCATAATTACCATAATGAACTGATTGCTGAACTGCTCATTAGACTGTTGCAATTTGATACTAATTAAATCAATGATTGCACTTGGGTATGACGCAGTTCTAAAATTAAATATTTTAATTATTGACGCACTTAATATTTTAGAATTTCATTGAATTTAATAAATACTAATTAAACTTAAAAAGCATTTTGCACTGAAAATAAAAATGCTGTTGCATTGACAACACTGTTCTGACAAACTAGAAATTGACTTCATGCAAATAAATGATAAATACAGTTATATCAGACAGATGGAGTGTCAACTTAAAACGAATCATTCATGATTAAAAGGAAAATGTTTTTAATATTAGGGGTCCATTAGCAAAAAACACAAACTTTTTTCTTTGTATTATTGTGGGCTTCAAGTAATGTGCGCAAATTGGCACAGATATGATATATTGATGAACAAGGGGATAAATGTTCTTGCATTGTTTTTTTAGTATTAATCCAGTTTTAAAATAAGGCCAGTATTGAGTTCTTAAAATAATGTTATATGCACATTTTATAAAGAAATAGAAAAAGAAACAGATTAATTGTCCAAATTTCTTGTGCCTCCCAATGACTTGTGACAGAAATAGTATGTCTTATTTTGCGATTAGTATTGTACAGATATGAATATGTTTATGTATATTTAATATTTTGATCATCGCTCTTGTAAACATATTTTTACGAGGTCATGCAAACATTAGATGTCTTCCGACAGGAGAACAGTACAGATTATGGCCAGCAACCCAAACAAAAGAACCTTAACCAATCAACCAATCAGCTCACACAACATGGAATAACTGATAATCATGGACAGATAAATCATTTTGCTTGCAGAACTAAATCACTATTGCGACAAAGTAGTTAATCAACATCTGTTCCAAAACCCTCTTAAGGCAGAATAATTAAAACGGAATCTCAAAAATTAACTGATTTGAAACACTCTACAACAAATAGTGCCTCACATGTGAAGCGCAATACGACACTCGACTCACAACTGCAACAGAATTTGATGCCAGCATACTCTAAAAAGCATAAATCCACATAGCTCTCACAAATATTGGCTAAAATAGTGTTTTTATTAATCCTTTTTAATATATATTTACTGAGCTTGTTACACTGCATTATGAGATCGCTTTCGCAGCATCTGCCTTAGATTTTTGAGGCGTCTTAAAGTGTGCATCTGATTCCTTCTCTCTAAACTTGGGCTTACATTTAAGATTTGTGTATTTGAATTGTGTAATATATTACCATCTGTTTGAATTTCACAGATTTAGTGTAAACAAACTAATAAACTTAATGTGATGCATATTTGTCAGTCGTGAATAAATGAAATGGATACGATTTCTGCACACACACACAAAAAGCATGGCATAGTTTATTATTAACTATTTGCATCTATGGAATTTTATTTAAATAATTATGTTCTCAAAATGCATTTATTCTAATTGCTTATTAGCGTAAATCTGTTCATTGTGGAAACAATTACATTTATTCGGTTGAAATAAAAGTGAGCATGATTAGCTAAAACGCATTCATTAGATTAATTAATTAGATTAATAAAATAGGTAATCAAATTGAATTTATTGATGGTAAATATATAGACCTTGGTTATTGTGTATTTAAAACACATTTAGTTTATTAGTATTATTGCAAAAAATCTCACCTGTTTCATTTGTCAAAATGCATTTATTCAAATTGCTTAGAATTTGCCCAAATCTGTTAATTGTGCAAACATTTACATTTATTCAGTTAAAATAAAATAAGAGCATGGTTAAAATATGGCTAGCTCTAGAACAAGCAATATTTAATTAGTAATATGCATTCGATCAAAGCAAATCAGATTTATTGATGATGAAAATATAAACCTGGTTAAATTCTATACAGAAATCTTACTTCTTTCATTTATGTATGATTGCCAAATGCATTACATTAAGTTATGAGTTTGTTAATGTTACAAAATGTTTATAATTCAAAACGATGGATATTTTATATGCAAATTCAAATACATATATCTTAAATTAAGATCTAAACTAATTCTTGAAAAAGAAACAGATTAATTGTCCAAATTTCTTGTGCCTCCCAATGACTTGTGACAGAAATAGTATGTCTTATTTTGCGATTAGTATTGTACAGATATGAATATGTTTATGTATATTTAATATTTTGATCATCGCTCTTGTAAACATATTTTTACGAGGTCATGCAAACATTAGATGTCTTCCGACAGGAGAACAGTACAGATTATGGCCAGCAACCCAAACAAAAGAACCTTAACCAATCAACCAATCAGCTCACACAACATGGAATAACTGATAATCATGGACAGATAAATCATTTTGCTTGCAGAACTAAATCACTATTGCGACAAAGTAGTTAATCAACATCTGTTCCAAAACCCTCTTAAGGCAGAATAATTAAAACGGAATCTCAAAAATTAACTGATTTGAAACACTCTACAACAAATAGTGCCTCACATGTGAAGCGCAATACGACACTCGACTCACAACTGCAACAGAATTTGATGCCAGCATACTCTAAAAAGCATAAATCCACATAGCTCTCACAAATATTGGCTAAAATAGTGTTTTTATTAATCCTTTTTAATATATATTTACTGAGCTTGTTACACTGCATTATGAGATCGCTTTCGCAGCATCTGCCTTAGATTTTTGAGGCGTCTTAAAGTGTGCATCTGATTCCTTCTCTCTAAACTTGGGCTTACATTTAAGATTTGTGTATTTGAATTGTGTAATATATTACCATCTGTTTGAATTTCACAGATTTAGTGTAAACAAACTAATAAACTTAATGTGATGCATATTTGTCAGTCGTGAATAAATGAAATGGATACGATTTCTGCACACACACACAAAAAGCATGGCATAGTTTATTATTAACTATTTGCATCTATGGAATTTTATTTAAATAATTATGTTCTCAAAATGCATTTATTCTAATTGCTTATTAGCGTAAATCTGTTCATTGTGGAAACAATTACATTTATTCGGTTGAAATAAAAGTGAGCATGATTAGCTAAAACGCATTCATTAGATTAATTAATTAGATTAATAAAATAGGTAATCAAATTGAATTTA